CTCAGTTGCAGCTTCCTATTTTTAAAATAATTCTCTCTTGATGATTTAATAGTATATCTCAGTTTTTCCAGTAAGAAAGAAGTATTTTTTTCTGGTGCCTTGAGCTCAAATTCTGAGTAAAAACTGACTTTATACTTTAAGGTAAACATAGCTCTGTGTGTGTGTGTATATGTGTGTATATGTGTGTGTGTAATTTTGAAGTGTTATTACTTGGAGAACTGTTTCTCTAAGTAGTAGAAAGTATGCATAAATGTAAAGAGTGAAGTTTGAGTTAAATTGCCTACATTTTTAACTGCAAGACTCCAGTTTAGTATCTCATTGACCTTTGGAAGTTGGTTGTGATAATGATTAAATAAGAAAAGATTGTTAGTGCTTAGAATAACTCTTGTCACATGGAAGACATTGAAAAAAATGTAGCTGTACTTAATTTGGAGTTTTTACTCTATAACAACAGTTCCTACTACTCTGATGGGAAATTCCTCCCCATTGGCAGTTTCCCCCCAATGCTTTCATGAAAACTTAATGAGTGCAGGGGAATAATAACTGTGATTTTTAATTATTATTCTTTACTGTTACTACTTTCCACAAAATTCATTGTTACAAAAATAGTTTAAGAGCAAACTATATATATATTTTGTTTATATACATTGCACTGAATACTTTTTTAATTGATGTAACACTGATTTATAGTGTTACATAGTTTTCAGGGTATACAGCATTATAGATAACATCTGTACACACTGCATTATGTTACAATTGACCATTGTATGATTTCATTTCCTAGGGTTAAGTGTCATAAAATGTTTAAGAATTAATTTAGATACAGTAAAATTCACTTCTTTACTATACAGTTCTGCCAGTATGGACAAATGGATGGTCATTTGTCTACCACCACAGTTTCTACATAAATGGTTGCAACATACCAAAAATTTCCCCCATAACTCTTTCTAGTCAACTCTCCCTATCCCCAGTTAATAACAACCAACTGACCTGATTTGTCCTCTACTTTCTCCAGGATGCCATATAGGTGAAATAATCAGGTAGATAGCCTTTTAGCCTGGCTGCTTTCACCTGACATACTGTATTCGAGATTCATTTATTGTAATGTGTTTATCAGTAATTCCTCCATTTTTATTGCTGAGTCATTTCTGCTCCATTGTGTAAGTGTGCCGTTGTTTGTTTATCCATTCCCCCATTGAGGTACTCTCATAGGATGTGTACATGCTAATCCACCACTCTAGAGTGGTGTACACTCTAATCACCAGTACATGAGTAACATTATGTGTACTTTATATGACAGAAGGGACTTGACAGATGTAATAAAGGTAGGGACCTTGAATTGGAGAGATTTCCTTGGATTTTTAAATTGCTCCTGTCTAATCATGTAAGTTCTTAAAAGTGAAAGAGGTTAGAGGAGTGTGTTAGACATTCAACATGAGAAGGCCTGATCTAGAAATTAGGAATGAGGGGCCTCCCTGGTGACGTCAGGGTTAAGTATCAGCACTAGCACGCTATCACTGATGCAACCTGAGTTCGATCCTAGGCCAGGGAGCTAACTCACATATGGCGCACCCTTTGCTCCCCTCAGCAGTGTATTTCAGCCAGTTCACCTGTTCTGCTCCCCACTGTCTCTGGTGAATCCTCTTACCGCCCCACGCCTCTGGCCTACACGCCAGATCTTCTACACATAAATAAATAAATCTTTTTAAAAATTAGAAATTAGAAATGATCATCTACTTACAACAGCAAGAAAACAGGGACTTTGGTTCTGAACCTCAAGGAACCAAATTCTGTCGACAACCCAGATGAGCAGGAAATTACTTCTCTAGAACCTCCAGAAAGAAAGGCAACCTATAGACACTTTGATTTTAGTCCAGTAAGACCCACATTAGACTTCTGGCCCACAGAACTGTAATATACATTTATGCTTTTGTTTTAAACTCTCAGGTTTGTAGTAATTTGTTATGACAGCAATGGAAACTAATAAAGGAACATTTGAAGTATTTCCTGTTCTTGGTGATTTGAGATAGTCTCTGTAGACTGCATCCAAGTTCATCAACATCCAGTTCCAGCTGGTTTGTTTTGTTTCTTTACCCTTCTATTGAGATGTCCTTCCAGTTTTTCTTTGAACAAGAAAATGACTTTATCTAGTAATTCATTGTTTTTCATTAAGTTCCATAATCTCTCCAGCATATATTGAGGGTGGAACTGTATTCAGGGTAAAAAAAAAAAAAAAAAAGAGCTGATGTTGCCTGGAAAGCCTAAATCTGAAGAAAAGTGGTTTCTTATAATCCAAGGCCAGGATTGTAAAGCTGCTTGAAAGAGCATTGCAGATGGGAGAAGGGAATTAGAAAAAAGAGAGAGTACGGAAGTCTTTGGTGTTAGCTGTGTGTTCCCTTCCTCCCCCAACTTCTCTTTTTCCCCTTCTTCTCTCTCTCGTTGAAAATTATGTTGAAAACTCTTCATAGTTTTAAAGTGTTGGATAGAAATATTTAAATGTTAAATATAAATTTGAAAAAGAAAATATATATGTTGTATTCTTATACTTTGATATTTCCTGATTGTTTTGCCTTTCATGATCTTTGGTGAAGATCTTTAAATTGTATTAGAGAAATCTAAATCTATATGACAGTTTTAGTTGCAAAATATATATGTTGGGAAAGTTTGCTAGATTTTTAAAGTTTCAAATTATTTTGTGGCATTTTTTTCAACTTTAGATAATGCTGATACAAGTGCATCTTGCTTTTTACTTTTTAGCCACATGGTGGTGCACTATTCCTACTGTATGAAATTATGTTTGCCCACTTTCTTCAACAGTCTGATCAAACCCATCTGATCAAACCCAGTGTAAGATAAAATAGAATGTTTTGAAAGTTTGCTTTGGACACAAAAAGAAATTGTTTATGTCAATAGTCTTTATAGAGGACCCACTTTATTTAAAGGGGATTCAAGGGTGTCTTTACAGAGAAAATAAAGCAATGCATAAGATAAATGCATTTTACGGCATTATTATTGAAACTTCATTTGGAAATGATTTCAGACTTATTAAAATGTTACAAGAATAAGAATAGCACAAGAAACATCCTTATACTCTACCTATCAATAATACATGTACCTATTATTAACATTTTGTCCCTTTTGTATATCTTTTCCTGAAAAATTTGAGCCTAAGGTACATATGCCATAACCTTTTACCCTAAACACTACATGTGCTTTTCCTAAGGCCAGCAATTTTTTATTTTATATAACCATAATACAGTGTCAACTTCAGTAAATTAATATTGATAAAATACTTTCATCCATTCCTACCTTCAGTATTTCAGTTTGTCATTTGACTCAGTAATGTCCTGTGTAATGCCCCACCCCCCCACCAGTTCAGTCTCAAGTCAATTATAACTTAATTTTCATCTTTCTTCAGCCTGGTATATTCCTTGTCTTTTATAACAGTGACATTTAACTTCTCTCCCCTTTTGTTATAGAACATTATTCATTTCCACTTTGGCTTTGTCTGATGATTCCTCGTGATAAAGATAGTACATTCTTAGCTATAATATTGCATATAATACTATTACAGATGCCCATGACTTTCAGTGGTGATGTTGCATTATGTTTTTGTTCGTCTTTTTTTTTTTTTTTGTAAATTTAGATGTGTCTTTAAAAGAACAAAGCACCATTCTAGGATGTTTAAGAATAAGCAAACATTTTCTCTAAAGGAAGTTACTTAGAGATAAATTAATATTCTTAGTAGATAAAGTCTAATTTGACTGAATGGCTTATAGTATATCTTAACTTTAATTCTTGCAATGCTCTTAATCGTATATTGACATTTAATCCTTGGAATCTGCCAGTGATTCTAGCGAAGTAATGGAATCTAAATAGGTGACATTAGACAGAAAGAAGTATAAAAAACAAGTATCTCCATAATAGTTCTCTCAGGTATCATCATACCAATCCAAATAATTTTATAGATTCTGTTTGGGTTTGTGCTTATGTTAGTTTTAATACAAAACGGTCATAGAAGTGCCAGATATGTTGACTGGAAAGAATATCATAAATTTCCCAAAGAAATTATCACGAGTTTTTTATTCTTTGACTATTTGAGTGATTTGTTTTGAAGTGCATAGAAATTGTTTTGTGAATAAGAAAATTTCTTAAATATATCTAGTGTGTTATTCTGGATGTGTATACATAATCTCTGAAGGTCACTGATACCTGTTTCAAAGAAAACAGTCATTTTGAGTATTTGCAAATAATTCTTGATTTTTAACTGAAAAGTATTGTAAAAATCAATATAAAGATGGTATAATGACCTCTAAGGAAGAACGTTAGTTTCAAAACATGATGAATCAAAACTTTTTATAGAGTGATCTTACACTTAATTTATTTTCTTGGATTTCATGTATATGTTACATATAAAATATGTATTTCCCACATAGATAATGTAGGCATCAAAGCATTTGAGGTCTGAAATTAGATGAATATAACATACTTTGAATGCCAAAGTGCCCATTAAATTTGATAGTTGAACTGGAAAAATTATTAGATCTGTGAGTTTTAATTTCTCTCATCAGCTGTCCTGCAAAGGATTAGAAGAGAGAAAAAAAATTACTTCCATATTCCTTTCAGGCTTATCCCTGAATTTTACAAAGAAGTATACAGATTTCCTCTGTTGTCTAACAGTAGAACCTTCCTATTTGTTATGACTTGGGAGGTTATTTTGGGGGGTATGGGGATGCTCAGAAATGTTTCCATGTAAATTATTGGTAGTAGTGTTTCCAGACCCCAAAAAATCACCTGCTGAATAATACCAAATATGAACATTCTACTTTCAGATAGTGGGGAAATCTATGCTGCTTAAACTGGTAAATGTTTTAATAGATGCTGCTTCTGGTGCTTGTATATATGTGTCTTAATTTCTAAAGTGCACTAAATGGTATCCTATGCATTAAATATCATTAGATTGAATATGGTTTTTATAATGTTTTATTTTCATTCTTTAGACAAGACACTTGTATAGATTCTACTTCATCCCTGAGAGAGACCAAGCAACCTGAAGGATTGGAATTAAAACAAGGTATGAGTCAATTTATTTTTACTTAGGTTTTACCTGAATTAGCAATTTACCCATCATAAATTTTCAGTGTTCCATCTAGGCTTCATTTTACAGATAGGGCAACAGAATAACTTCCTTGGTTTAAGGTCAGAAGAGTACAGAATACATCCTTATTTCATGTCTCCATTAATCACTACTGCATGAGTGATGTGTAGATACAGATGCCACCAGAAAGTAGTCATCTTGAATGGTTTTATAAGTAACTATATCTTCAGGTGCAAAATACTGGAACTAGGTTAACTGCATAGCTTTAGGTCCTATGTGGAAAAATATGTTTTACAGGATAAGTTTTTTCTCTCTATTTGCAGAGGTAGTTTGTCCTTATTTAATTTCTTATTTATTTGTTGTTTTCTATAAATCAATAGCTGTTGACATTACCAGCTAGCAGAAGTAAAGTGGTAATTTGTAATTTATTCAAGCCAAATAGATCAATCGGTCTCATCTTTCGCTTATCTTTTTTGTTTGCTTCTTTTTTATCTTGGTAGGGAAATTGAAAGCGAAATAAATTTTTATTAGTTACTCAAAGACCACCTCACATTATTTTCTTTTTCATGATAATATTACTTTAGAGCAATAAGATTCTGTTGCAGCCAAGAGTGTGGTGATATTTATTATGTAGACAGCTAATACTCAGTGACTTAGAATAGAACTACTTGTTAGAGATAAACAGGTCATTGGTTATTTAGGGAGAATTTTTTTAAAAAACTGGTTGGTGTTACTAATGTATAATCAGTAAAATGAATACAAGTTGAGTAATTCGTTTTATGATTCAATTTATATATACAGAGAACAAAATCTAACTTAAGTTTACTGAGTTGATGTATTTCTGATGGTTTTAAGGATCCCAGTGCTCTTCAGAAGTGCTATTAGGTAGCTTTCCAGTTGTCAAGCAAAATTTATTTTCGTACTCTGCTTCTGAGCACCTTCACCCTGCCCCATTAGCTCAGATTCATGCTTTGGTTTACATTTATTTGTCATATGTAAATACATGTTAAACACCTATTGTTTCCATGTATTTTAATCAGTCGTGTAACTGTTGCACCCCATGTATAATTGGACAGTGCTGCTTTTTTTTCTGCTTTTGTTTCTACTCTTTGCATAAGAGCAGGCATTTGGGTGAGGGGGGTTGGTAGGGTTGCTGTTAGATCATCTACAGGAGAAGAATGTAACGTAAAGAACAAAAAATGCTAGGATGTGCTGATTGACTCCAGGTCCCAGGGTAAAAAGGAATGCAGCCCTCATTGTACAAATCATCAGCACTGCCCTCCGAGGGAAAATGTTTGTGTTTGGACACCTGAGCTCCTTAGCACTCCCTTCCCAATATTAACAGTCTATTTTGTTGTGATTTTCTTATGGTAACTTTAGTCATTTTAAAGCTGGTCATGGAAGCAAAGAGGCAGAATAAAAGAACTCAGAGTAGCCAGAGGTCACAAAGCCCAGATCTTTTATGCTTAGGAGCCTATAGAATACTCTCAAGTTCTCACTTAGGCATGAGAAACTTCAAGAACACATTGTCATCAGTAAGTGACAACAAATGGAGGTGAATAAGCATAAGATCAAAGCACAGCAGTACCTGTGTGCAGTTCATAGTGTGACCACATCTGTAGGAAATGACTAAATTAAGCTTCCTGTCAGTTTTTTAAAAAGCTGGGATATAGCTAAAGTCTAAAGATATTTTAGAAAAATGTTTATAGAAGTGGTTAAAATATTCTGTTTTATTAGAGAATAAGCCATTTATTTAAAAGAATCAATTATGTAGAACATTTTCCCGATAAATATTAATATAGCTAAAACACTAGCATAGCTAAATTTGAATCACATAGTAAGTAACTTGCTGGGAGTAATCCAGAAAACTGAGGTACATCAGGAAATAGAAATTCTGGTAAGTGTAATAAAGATTATTGTCTTCTTTCTAAATGAACTAATATTGTCTGTTTTTAATATACAGAAACATTCTTTGACCATTTAAGAAAATTCATTGAAACATTTAGTACTGAGGTAACCCTTTTTTCAGACATATAAGACAGCATTGAATTTTCTCTACTCGTTCAGAGTAAAATACATCTTATTATATTACCTATTAATGGCTTATGATACTGGCAAGTTATTTAAATTATGTTTTCAGTTTTTTAACATCTAAAATACTCAAATACTGAGAAGCATTGACTATAAATAGTTAAAAATGAAATTGGCATTTCTTTATCTAGTACTGGTTTCGTTTATCTTGTTGATAAGAAATGTCATTTATTAAGCTTCCTTGCTGAAGATGAGTATCAGTGTATACTCACTTCTGCCATACTAACAGAGGACTAACACCTGAATCTTGACCTTCACTGTGTAAACGTTACTTAAATGTAAATATAATCTGCTGGTTGATTGAATGGTATTATTGTAAAATAGAAACTCTTCTGTTAGTCTTAGTTTCCTAAGTCACTCATTTTTAGTAGGACAGGTATATAAGAAACACTATAGTTTTCCCTTTTATCTTTATTTAGCACAGCTGTGTTTGTGTGTACAGGCTCATATACTTGTGCAAACCTGAGATCTTATGTTAATTTCCTGGAAAATTTCAGGGCTTATATTATTGAAAAGGAATAGCTCAGCTTTTAAACTAATAATGGTTTATATAAATTTTCTAAATCGGTCATTTTGCTATAGTTTACACAAAATGAAAACTGCCATTTGTCAAAGGTACTTGATTTGTAGAAAATATTTTTAAACTATCAGACAAATTTTTGCTAAAGTCCTGTTAATTTTAATGAATTATCTTCCTGTATATTTGTTAATAAGTAAATGAATTTGCTTAAAACATCTGCTACATTAAAAATAATGGTATATATTTAAATTGTTGCTTTAACGTTTACAACTGATACGTGTAATTTTGCAAATTATTCTCCTTTATGGCTTGAAGAATTAGACTCTAATGCTTCCATGGTTCTTAGAAGTTGTTCATAAGAAATGTTTAATAGACATGAAAAATACCTAGTTCGATTTGAATATTTTGGTTGAGGTTTGGAGTAGTCTCTCTAGTGAAAGACCGACTAGGCTTGTTATGTCTCCAAAAATAAAGATAGGGCCAGTAGATACAGTTACTATTAGACTAATTTTCATTCAATTTAATTTCCAGTAATAAGTATCAGAACATGTATGCCTTTTGATCTTGCTCCTGTTTGGGAAGTGTGAAATACAGTTTATATAAGCCACCACTTGATGGCGTTGTTGTAGAGCTAATTCAAGCAATGTTTAGGTGTTTGGCCTTAGTCTTGAAGTTCTTTCTAGCTGTCAGATTTTGTAAGTGGTGCCTAGAGCAGTGTCTGTTCTTAGGAAGAGCGCTTAATAACTGTTTTCTTATATTGTTTCGTATAAGCAGAATAGAATATGCAATTTTTTTCTATTTCTACTTTTTTTCATTCTGTTAGAAGAAAAAATGCTTTAAGCTGTATGATTGTAGCTTGAAATGCATTCGTTGAATATGGTCGTAAAAATAAATAATGTAACCATGTGGTATATAAAAGGATCAATATCAATGTTTTTAATACCTCCTACTCTCAATCTTTTACTTTCTCATGTGAAAATTATACTTCCTTTTCTTAAAAACATGCTAACATACAAAATATGGAGAGTTGTGCTGTGGCTAAGTGCAAATATTGATACTTAAAAAAGCAGTAATAGAGTTATCTTATGCAGTCATATTTTGACCTTCTAGTTCACAAGTTAATGAGTGATAGATAGCTTTAAGAATTATCCTATTGTGGACTTTAATAGGGAAAAATGTTTTATTGGTTAAAACTATGTGATGAAAGTTGAGAATAGATGTCTTCTATGGGCTTCTCTCTGCCTTTCCTACGAGTGGTCACCAAAATGATTATACACTCCCAGAGAATGCAAGAAGAAAACATGCAGACTTCTAAAGTAAATGAATATACATAAACATATTTTTCAGTCTGTCTCCTAAAATTTCTGATTACATGTTATCTTTTTTTTTAAGATTTTTTTTATTTATACAAGAACTGGGGTACAGGTCAGAGGCGTGGGAGGGTGAAAGAATTCAGTAGCGACAGAGTGGGGAACAGAACAGGCAAACGAACTGAAGACACTGCTGAGGGGAGCAGCGGGCGAGGCAGGAGACGTCTGCTACGCCATGTGGGTATCTCCCTGGCCGGCTGGGAATTGAACCCATGCTGCAGAGGCTGCAGACAGCTTCACAGCGCTGCGCTCAACCCTCTGTGCCACCGGGGAGGTCTGATGAATACATATTTGTTACATGTAATATAAATTTATTACTAGGTAATAAATAGGTACTGAGACAGGTACTTGAAGTTTTCACTGATAGGCTTATGTAGATAATGAAATTGAGAGATCACTCCTTTAGACTATTGTAAAGAATTGGTGATAGTGGGCCTCCCTGGTGGCCCAGCGGTTGAGCTCTGGGCTGTGAAGCTCTGCAGCACCAGTTTGATCCCTGGCTGCCAGTGAGGGTCCCACATGGCTCAACAGACTTCTCCTGCCACACCCACTGCTCCCCTCAGCAGCATATTTCGTCAGTCTGCTGTTCTGTTCCCCACTCTGGCTCTGGTGAATTCTCTCACCCTTCCGTGCTTCTGACTGTACCCAGTGCTTGTATAAATAAATAAATAAATGAATCTTAAAAAAAAAAAAAAAGAATTGGTGATAGTCATAGCTAACTCATCCATTCTAAAAAACTGAATGTGACATAAGAGATTTAGTTAAAGTAGTTAGTATGAAACTGTGAGTCTATTCAAATCCTTATAAGGTGAGGGATGAATGGGAAAAAAACAACATTTTTTTCTTTTTCTTTTATTTTTGCATAGAACTGATGTGTAGGCCACAGGTGCAGGGGGATGAGATGATTCACCAGAGACCAAGTGGGGAACAGAAGAGGTAGATTCACTGAAATACACTTTGCTTAGAGGAGCGGTGGGCAAGACAGGAGAGGTCTG